ATGGTCAGCATGTAATCTTCTTCATCTGGGATCTTTGTTGCTCTTACCTCAGGAGAAGGTGCAAGTGCTATCGTACCTTTAGTGAGACTGCCGTGTGCAGCGATATGAACAACAGCTACTCCTTCAATTAGTCTCTGGATAACAGCTTTTTTCGTAGCCTTCTCTCCTGTCAAAGGCGTCGCATTGAATACATTGCCTACTGCGATCGCTTCAGCAAACGCATTATCCAAAGGACCAAACTCTTTCTCTTTACCATCGAACATGACTTTACCAACAAGAGGATTTCCAACAACTAAGGCGCCTTTCTTGGAATAATAATCTTCTGATCGTTCTTGCAACGCCTTTAAAGTCGCTAATGAAGGAGCAAGTCTAATGCGCTTTGTCTCTGATAAATACTTTCCCGTGCGACGATCTCGTAAGGCGGGAAAAGGCACTTTGTATGAGGGACCTTCTGGAATAATAACAACCTCGTCTTGCTTCGACGATAGTATTCTATCACATTCTAAGATATCAAATAGATCTTCTAGAGTAGATCCCTTGGTTTCAGCACTATTCTCATTAGATTCTCCTCTTTTAGAATCAAGGTTCAGCAGTGATGCCGTTGGTTGATAAAGTCCCTTGTATTCTTCTTTGCTTCTTCTTTGTTCTTTTTTAATATCTTCTTCCTTGTCCAACGACCTGTTCTCACAGTCAACCACCTCACCAACACCCATTTCGTCAAACAACCTATCGACGTCTATCTGTAGGGAATCATGAAGACAACCTGAATAATGCAAATTTGTCTCCCCTTCAATGAAAAACCTCAGCAAAGCATCATAACAAATCGAGTAAAAGTCAATGCTGAAGTCATTTTCTGAGACCAGAGACAAAACATCGCTGTACTCTAGGTGTTCATCATTGCTCTTCTCTTGTTCCATCTTGAAGTTTGACATCATAAGATCTTTCAAGGCTCTTGCACGACAACGATCTAACACTAAAAGCGCTTCCTCCATCTGATCGCCTTTGATTAACAGTATTGCCAACAGCTTATAACTATCGATATATTCGTCAAATATGGAGATCTTGAATTCATCAAGACTACCAAGTGTGGTAAAGGTCGCTTCAAAGCATCGTATAGCTTTTCTTAGATAATGTTCTGCCAAGTTCAGTTCTCTGTTCAAGAAATACAATAATTGACCAAAGAAATAATAAAAGTTGGATAGGTACCCAACAGTATCAGGACAAGACTCGGCAGTAGGTAGCCCTTCTTTGAAACTGCGTAAAGCCATGTCATTCTGACCCATCAAATGATACAAGTTCCCGATTTGTGTGAAACACCACAAGTTTATACAAGGTTCCAAGTCCATCTGTTTTATCTGCTCAAAGCAATTGATTGCTTTTATATATTCTTTTTTAGAAAAATTAAATGTGAAAAGCCTCACTAAAGCTCTCGTTTTCTTTGTTTTATCGCCTGTCTTCAGCGCTTTGTCAAGATCCTGTAATAGGTCATCTTCAGAACATGTTGGTACCTCTAATAATTCCTTTAATGAGGGTGCATAACATTTGTCCAACCAACCAACTCTGCAGTGAAAATTAAAGCGACTCAGTTTGAACTTTTCTTCATATTCTTTGTCTCCAAGCTCTATAGCAATCGCCATGCCTGCATCTATACTCTGAGACGCTTCATTCAACTGCACGTCCATATATGCTTTAGAGAGAATAAGATGTCCTTGCATCTCAGTTGTTTTGTCGCCAATTTCTTCAGAGATGTCCAGGCGTTTCTTACCGTATTGGATGGCATTTTCCTTATCAACTGATACAACGCTGTATACAGACGCAAGACGGACACATGCTTCTGCTTCAATCATTTTCTCGCCAATTTCTTGTGCCATGTCGATGAATTTCTTGTAATAATACAATGCATCATTATGTTGTTTCAGTCTCTTATAAATATTTCCTAGACACAAACACGCTCTTGCCAGCTCATGCTTTTCGAGGCCAACACGGTTCACGATGTCTATATTTTGCTTGTAATTCTGAATGGCTTCATCGTCTTTCTCCAAAGACTGGTATACCTCTCCAAGGAAGCTATAAGCCTGAGCCTCAGAAAGTTTATCTTCAATAGTTATTGCAAGCTCAATACACTTCTTGCAATAGATAATTGCATTCTCGTAGTCGGAAAGAGCGTTATATATCTCCCCCATTAATAGGTAAGCCACGACTTCAACACGTCTGTTTTCTATTTCCCTTGCTATTTCAATGCATTTCTGTAAAAAGTCAGTGGCATCTTGATAGTGATTCAAGGCAAGATGTGCTTCTCCCAGCCCAARGTACGCGTTCATCATAGCCTTCTGATTGTTATTTTCCATGCCGCAATCAAGCAGCTTGTGCGCATACAGAATAGTGTCATCATATTTCTTCATGCATGCATATGCGACCATTATAAGGTTATATGCATTTATCTCGCCTTCAGCACAATCAATTTCTATGGCAATTTTAAGACATTTTTTGTCACAGTCAATAACATCATCATAACGAGCTAAGGATGAAAACCCATTTCCCAGCCTTACGTACGCGTCCATCATAGCCTCCTGATTATTGTTTTTCATGGCGCAATCAAGGAGCTTGTGCGCATACAGAATAGTGTCATCATATTTCTCCATGTCTGCATATGTGACCATTATAAGGTTATATGCCATCATCATTCCTTCAGCACTATCAATTTCTTGGGCAATTTTAAGACATTTTTTGCCACAGTCAATAGCATCATCATAACGAGCTAAGGATGTAAACCCATTGCTCATTTCACGATGTCCATACATTTCTTTTTCTTTATCGCCTATAGTTTGAGCAATTTCGATCCATTTCTTAGCGTGCAAGAGAAATTTTTCAAACTCGTTGAGCTTCCTATATGTGAGACACAAAATCTGATGAACTATTAACTCATAACATGGTATTGCTACAGCTAACGGTAATATTTCCTTCAGACACCTCAGTGAATCAGCATGTCTACCTAAGCTGTATCTATGCTTTACGAACTGCAAGCATGATTTCATCATGGTACTTATATCATTACAGTGTTTAGCCATCTCTATGCATTCTTTGTTCAGACAAATCAGCTGTTCAGTTGACAGTCCAAGTTCCTCTGACAACTTGTAGGCCGACGCCCAGCAAAACCTTACAAAAGTAGTCTTCTTGAACATATCCATCTTCAGCTTTACTTGTTATTCAACATTCATCTAAAATCAAACAATAAATTGATAAATAAACAAGAACACACGAGAACGAACGAAGGAAGAATAAAAATATTTTTAGATTAAAAACTGAAATCAAGAAAAACATTTTGTATACATCAGTGGCAGATCCAGGAATTTTAGAAGGGGAGTTACAAAGGTTTTACCAGGAATACCAGGAAAAGGGGGTGGCTTACTAAGGATAATACTGAGAAATATGAGCAAAACGGTGAGGGGAAGGGGTGGTGACTAGTCACCCCCTTCACCACCCCTGCATCCACCTGCATCTGTACATAAATAATAAGATATGAATTATTGAAAATATTACAATATTGCCTTTCTTCTTGTTGGGCCATAAGCCAAGAGTCCAACACTTTAGTACTTTTGAGACTTTCATGTGTTACCAAGGTCTGTTGAGTGTTCTATTTGTTCAATGCTAACACTTACAACCATTCTCCATCACACGCACCTCTCTAGCAACTGTTTCTGTCAAAACGAAGAAGCTTTTGGTGGACGTCAATCAAGGCGTTTCTATGACATTCTATAGGCACATGCCTTTATAGCTTTCTGTTAATTGACAATGCTAGGGAAATTCTTGTGATTGACATTCATCAAAACCTTCTTCATCGCGATGGAATCAATCGCTAGAGGGCGCGTGTGGTTGAGAATGCCTGTAAGATCTAGGATCACCACAAAAAAAAAAAAAAAAATTTTCAGCTTTTGAAAGGGTATAGACAATCTTCATGTGTAGCACAAACATACCCAACCTCTAAAATCTAATTTATGCTTCTAAATTCTGAATTATGAGTGCTTTTTTATTTTTGGAAAATCCGCAACCGTGCATGGCTGGAATGGATTGGACTTCGGTTCACTGCATCATGTGGATCAAAAACCGTTTTTACTCTGAATTTGCAGTTTTTATCCTATAATTTTAATTATATTATTCATAACTAAGGATTTTATGCCGAAATCAAAGTAAAAATATCAAGATTCCCCCCTATCTTTGGAAAACATATTTGATCTTGAATCGTAGAACATTTTGCTTTTCTGCCCATCCACTAACACTCAAATACTTTAGAAACTTTCCAAACTTTACAAACCAAGGTCTATCGAGCGTTCTATTTTATTAAATAATATTTTTATTAAAGGGAGTATAATCAGTGATAAACTCCCTTAAACTTGAAGTTTGCTTCTGAATTTTGCATTTTCAGAGATTTTTTTAAAAAGGAAAGAAGCAGATGAGATTTTTTGGAAAATCCAGAATCGTCTAGATTGATGGAATGAGTCTTGGATCACAA